TATAGGCAAACACAGTGACCCTTTTGAGTGGGCAGGTGCCTGTGGACAGGTTTTGGGGCTTAAAACATTAGCTACTTCAAGTGCATACCCTGCGGTTGCCTGACCTCTATAAACCATTTGACCCACAGGTTCATGAGAGGCATGAGATTGCCCTAGGACGGTTCACAAAAATATATGACTGTTAGTTGAAGTGGTAGCCTATTTCTCCAAACAATTAGACCAGATGGTTTTCTTGCCTAAGGTCACTGCTAACAATAACCCAAGAAAAGAAGCCAATAAATTGACATTGGCCATCCCTTTGTGGTATGGAACCCTACCACTACCACCAAGTTCAGTTCTTAGGACTAAAGAAATGGAATGTCTGTCCCCTGGGGAAGTGCTTCAAGTCCAAACCAAACTGTTAGATTACCCAGAGATGCTTTTAAATCCTGTGCAACTTAAACCTAGCCACACAACTATGCATTGGGCCCCATGAGAAAGACCTCAGATACACAGAAATTACTGACCAAGTCTTCTGAAACAAGTCTGGTCTTAAAAGCGAACTCCTACCAAATGCAGAAGGATAATGTTTCACAGATGCTAGTAGTTATGTCAAGAAAGGATGGAAAAGCTGGGTGTGGTGATATGTGTCTGTAATCCCAGTACACCGGAGGCTTAGGTAGGGGGAATCACTGTGAGTTTGAGTCTAGCATGGGCTACATAATGAGTTCAAGGTCAGCCTGAAATATATAGTGAGTCCATGTCTAAAAAAAAAAAAAAAACAGGGCCAGCCAAATAGCTCAGCACATTAAAGCACCCAGGGGCCTTGGTTAATTCCCTGCACCTGCTGTGCCAGCCCTGTCCCTGGGGCACACTGAAACAGTGATTGAGACTGGGCAGGGTGGCGTGTGCCTATAATCCCAGCTGTTGGGAGACTGTAAACAGGAGAATCACTACACGTCTAATCTCATAGTGAGATCCTGAACACCTTGTAGACCCTTCCCTAAAATACAGAAAATAAATAAATAAATAAATAATAAAATGGAGGTAGGAGGAATATGTAGTTGTCTCAATGGAGGAAATTGAAAATCTGTTCCTATAGATAGAGACCTCAGCCCAAAAAGTTGAGGTAATTGCTCTGATGTGGGTGCTTATTTTGAGGAAAAGAAAGGCAATCAGTATTTACACTGGCTGCAGATGTGCTTATGTCATAGTGCCCACAAGACATTAAAGAAAGGAGTGCTAAAATCAGTGAACAATTGAATCAAGGATCATACTCTTATACCAAAGTTGTTCAAATCAGTGCAGCTATTACTCAAAGGGTAGTTGTTACTCACCATAAAGGACATCAGCACAGTGAGGGGGAACTATGAGGGAAAAACAAAGCTGATATAGCCACAAAGCTGATAGGCCACAGAAGGGATATTTTGATAATGGTTGTGCATCCTGCACCCCCTAAGCCCTTGAGCTATCAACTAGTATGTCCTGAAAAAGGGAAAGGGCTATAAAGAGGATTTACAAAGGGCAGTACCCAGGATGGTCTGAAAACCATTGTAGACTGCTATTGTTTCTTAAAGCCATGCCCATTCTGATTGCCAAGGAAGGACACAGAGGGAAACGGGTAGCATACAAATGGCTTATACAGCTTATGATTACCCCACCCTTATCCAAAATAATTGGTCACATGCAGCTGCCCTTCACATCAAATTAATAACCCCAAGAACAGACCACCCTCAAGACCAAATATTAAAACCTATACAAATTAAGGGAGCCTACCCAGAAGACTGGCAAGTTTACTGTCCTTCCCTGGACTGCCAGAAACTTTACATATCTTCTGGTAATTACAAATGCTTTCTCAGGAGGTATAAAAGTCTCTGCCAGGATTAAAACCACTACTGAAGAAACTCCAAGTCTTTAAAAGAAATTATTCTCAGGTATGGACACCCTAGGACCCTGTAGAGTGGTACTGGACCCGTATTTATAGCTCAAATTACTGAAAAAGTAGCCCATGGCTTGGAAACTCCATACTGCTTGGAGACAGTACTTATCAGGAAAGACTGAAAGAACCAGTGAAACCTGAAAGATGACATTATCTAAATTTTTTTAGAGTACCTAAGAAAATTGGTTAAAGCTCCTGCTCATAGCCCAGATGGTTCCCAGGGAAAAACCAAACTGAGCATACTTCAACTTATATGCAGAGTTATCCCACATCTTTAACCTGGTTAAAATGACAGTAAAACAGTTTTACTGTCTTAAATGCCTTAAATTTGGGAGTGCTTTTCTGAGCTCTTACAACATAGGAAATCAGATCATGCTTTCACCAATGGACTTGTTCCTATGCCTCTTATCTTCTTGAATGATTTGATATAATTTTTAAAAATTCAAGGCCCAGAAAATGAACAAAAAGCTGTCCACAACATGAGTGGGCACATACCTGGTAATCTTTTAAGATTTAAGAAATCCAGAGCCGGTGAGATAGCTCAGTGGACTAAACACCTGTTTAGGCAAGTGCTGGGACTGGGATTCCATGCCCAGCACCACATGTCATGCCAGCCCCACCCCAGGGTGCTGCGACCTGGCTACCTAGAGTGGGGCGTGGTGGCACATATCTGTAATCCTAGCGCTGGGGAGGCTAAAACAGGAGGATGGCTACAAGTCTGAGCTGCATATTGAGACCCTGTACCAAATATATAACAAACAAAAACAACCACAGGAAAGAAATCTGGGACAGAGTGATAGCTTGGCTGTCTAAGCATCTGCCTGGCGAGCTCAAGGACTTGGGTTCAATCCCTGGCATTGCATGCCATCCATGCCCTGCCTGAGCCAGCAACCAAAACTGGGCATGGTGGCACATGCCTATAATCCCAGTGTTGGGAAGATTGAGGCAGATGGATCACTATGAGTCTAAGCTGCATAGCAAGACCCTGTACCAAATACATAAATTTAAGAAATCCTTTTATATTATATTGCATTCATAAACTAAGATCAACATTCGTACGACTGTGCTTAATTTTTGAATCTCAGATAAATGATCAGTTTCTCAAAAGGTGTAAACTACAGAAATTCATTTAAGGTGAAACATAACCTGAATTGCCCTATTTCTTATTCTTAAGAAATAAGATTATTTAGTCTTAAATTTATTTATTAAAAAAAGAGAAGAAACGTTAAACATCTTAATCAAGTGATATTTATCCTAGGAATGCAAAGCTTTTCACAAATCAATCAATTAATGAAACTTACTACACTAAACTGTAGAAAAAATTCACAAATATATAAATAACACAGCCTAAAAAATGTGACATATATTCAAAATAAAACTTTGGACAAGTAGAAGTAAACTTCCTTACAGTAGTAAAGGGCATGCAGAAAGTCCTACAGCTGACACAGAAATTGAGGAAAAACTAAATGTCCCTCAGATCCAGGAACCAGTCACCACTGTGGGCTACCTGAAGCCCCCTGGCCCCATCCCTGTATGTCAGGTGATACTCACTGGTGCCCAGCTCCTGTCAGGGGCACTACAAGAAATAAGGACAGCACTTGTACCCTATGAAAAACATTAAGGCAAATCATCATGGTAGATACTAGCTCATACTGACCCTGGCAACTGTATTATGAACAAAAGTGTTTTTCAATCTCTGTTTCACAGTAGAGGACCAGCCAAGAGGACTAACTTGAAAGGCGATTTAGGAGCAGTTTATAAAGGCTAGTGATGAATAATGGCAGACTACAGCACACCTTCTCACAGAAGGTTCTGGCCAGATTGCACACAGCTGATCTTTATCACCCGGTCACATTACTTTTCAGTTCTGCCAACCTGAAGAAAAACTATTTTTGTCAAAAAATTCTCATTTCCCCAGGCTATTCCTGCTACTGAGTAATTCGTCTATGCACAGTTCCTGACATTCTGCAGTGGATATGCTAGAGGGGTTATCTGTGCAAAGAAGAAAGACAAAGGTCAGATGAAGTTATCTATGGAGGTGGTCAGGGAGAGAGACAGAGACAGAGAGACAGACAGAGGCAGAGAGATAGAGACAGATCTTGATCTTAGTGCTTAGCTTCAGGATGTCACTTCTGTAGTCAGCTTACAGTAGTTACCACTCCATCTTCCTAGCACTCTGAAGAAGCAAGCTCCAGTGTCAGAAAGCCAGCCTAGTAAATGTCTGAGCAGCAAACCTAGGCAGGGTGGCACACGCCTGTAAGAACTCCAGAGGGTTAGTGACCTCCAGCCAATAGCCAGTGAGAAACAATCCTGCTAACAACCTCATGAGTGTTCTTAGAAACAGGTCTTTCCTCGATGGTGGCCTCAGATGAGTGTGATTCAGCCACACTGGACAAGAACTCTTGCCACACTGGACAGCCTTCCTTCCTCCAAGATACTCTTTCTGCCACTGAGGCAGAGTTCTAGGTTTGTCCCTCATAGGCCCCATCCACTCCAGCCTTGCACCACCTGTGGAACAGCACTGACTCACTGTGCCACGTGTCCCAGCACATGGCTGTGCCTCCCGCTACTCCCATTGTGCTGGCAGCCCCAGAAACAGCAGGACACCCTTCCCAACAGCCCTAAGGAATAGGGTGGGAGGTTTGGCCTGCTCCAGTGTTGGGTGTGGCCAGCTGACACTTCTCAGTGGCATGTGACTGCCCCATCTAGCCTTCAGCCCTGTCCAAGCTGACTACCTGAGTGCCTCAGAACACAGCATATAGGCACTACCAAAGGTCTTAGCAGCAGGTTCTTGTAGTCCTTCAACATCCCAGGCAAGGCCTGTGAGACCCCCAAGGAGCCTGGCATCAGTAGTAGAAGGCACCTCAATTGGGAGTTCCTTGTGATGTTTCCCTGTGGTCTGGCTGCTCTAGAATGGAGACCAGTCAACCTGTGTGGCTCTGGTTGAGCCAACCCTCAACCTCTGGGTGGGGTCCAGGGTCCTAGTTTTGCCCCAGTCCTGTCAAGGGGACATGCCTGGCCAAGCCTGCAAGTGGTGTAGCACTTCCCGGGACAATAGCCCATCTTGCTGCCTGGGACCTACATCCGGGCCTGTGTGTTTTTCAAGGTGAGTTTCAGCTCATCCAAGGTTTCCTCCATCTCCTGCGTGTTCTGGATCAGTGACAAGTTTTGCTCTTCCAGCTCTGTGAAGACATCCAGGAGCTGGTGGGGCTCCGTGAAGTACAGTGGCAGCTCCTGTGAGAAGGCCGTGTGGGAGAGGGGTCTGGTGGGTGAGGGGGGGGGCAGAGAAGCAGAACTGGGCTACTGACCTCTCCTTCGCTGTCAGTGTCCTCCTGAGACTGGAGGGATGGGAGGGTAGAGCTGGACCTGCAAAGAGGTGAGGTCAGGGCTCCCTGGACCAGCCTGGGAGGCCAGAAGTGAGCAGGGGGCAGAGACCTGAAGACGTGGATGGAGCATCTCCCTCATCCTTGCCGTCCCGCCCAGTGCCCAGACATAGCACCAACATGACACATGCCAGGGGTATCCCAGCTGCCAGAGGACACTTTCTAGCTGTAATTGGCAATTCTCTCCATACCCCAGAGGTCACTGTGTCCCTGACCTGTGAGCTCGTTCCCCTCTCTCTAGGTGTTGGCCCTACCTCAGTGCCTTTGCACCTGAATGAGTTGCCTTTCTCCCTGACCATTTGTTTTCTGAGAGCAGTCTCTGAGGCCTTTCCTGCCCCATCTGCCCATGAAAGGCCCATTCAGTCTTGGAACATGCAGGCCACCTCTCACTGATCCTGAACAGCACTGAGTGTGGCCTAGATCATTTATGAGTCTTGTGCAGCTCATAGCCTGCTCTGGTCACCAGCTAGTAGATGGAGGGGCCAGGATTCAAAGCCAGGACACTGTGATGCACACCTGTCCCCTCAACCACTCCCCCAACAGAGAGCTGTGGCCTGCAGCAACAGCCCAGGAAAAGGAAGCAGCATGATATATTTAACCTCTTAGAACTTCTGCTCCCAAATACTGCAATCATTTTTCCCCAGCTGGGTCACAGGGGCTACAGTTCACATGCAGCTTGTGCCTGGCCCAGCCTCAGTGTCACCAGTGGTGGTCACCAACATGCCTGTGGCGTGGCATTCAGGAGCAAGTGGAGACAAAATACTAGGAGGGGCCCAGGTAGTCATAGGCCAGGGAGAAAAGAGAATGGAACAGAGCAGGACAAACAGATAGTCAGGCCTTTGATGACAGAGGAAGGAAGAGGAGGAGATGAAAAGGAGGCTTGAGAGCCCCACACCCACTTCTCCCCCATCCCCTGCCATCATCACCACTGTTCTCACACAAATGTGTACACTAAGTTTCCTAAGAAAACAGTCAAATATTTTAGTGACTTTGGATCAGCAAAGATTTCTTAAGCAAGGTATAAAGTGCACCAGTCTGAAGTAAAAAGAAGGGCCGACCAAATAGCCCAGCAGATTAAAGCTCCTGCTTAGACAGACACAGCGGCCGAGGTTTGATACCTGGCATGCCATGCCGGCTTGCCCCTGGGGCACGCTGAGACAGCGATTGAGACTGGGCATGGTGGTGTGCACCTGTAATCCCAGCGCCTGGGAGGCTGGAAACGGGAGTATCACTACAAGTCCAATCTGTGTAGTGAGTCCCTATAGACCTTGTACTAAATACATTAAAAAAAAAACCCACAAGAGATCTGGGGGTGTGGCTCAGTGGTAGAGCACTTGCTTGGCATATTTGAAACACTAGGTTCCATTCCCAGCACCAAGGAACAAGAAACAAACCACCCAGTATGCCACTTCTCCTGTGGTAGCTCTAGTATTCTCTTTGCTCTAGTATTTCTGAAGCTCTGGCACCTGTGTCTTTGTCGACCACAGGGGGACCCTTCCCCCCAGGTGAGCCAATTCCTAAAGGTGGTAATTCATCCTGGAAAGTGCTTTTCTGTCACAAAGCCACTATCTCTCCAGTGTCCACACTTTCCTATACTGGGCTCTTATACTTGGCCACTCTTCCCCAGGGATAGCACCAGACCACCAAGGACAGCACTATGCCTGATGTCTTTCAAATGAGCCTGTCCTCAGCCTGCTGGCTCACCTCACTGGCTCCTTCCTGGGAAGCCATCATAAACGTCCTTGCCCATGATCCTCCTTCCACCTTTTGACCCTGGACATTTCTCATGTAACCTGTATGTCATGCTGGCCCTTCTCTTAGACTCTGAGGGCCTTTCAGTATCAGTCTCTTCTAGTTGGTTGCCTTTACTATCCTTAGGGACCATCAGGAATGCTTTCTCACCCTAGACCCCAGCCCCTTCCAGGCCCCCACAAGGCCACTTACCCTTTGGAGTCCAACCCACTGGGCACACTGGGCTGAGTGGCAGGCTGGAAGCTGCTGCTGCTGGATGGGGCCTGCCCCAGCCTCCCTGACTGCATAAGCTTCCAGGGCTTCTTCAAGCCCTGAGCCTCTGGAGGAAGCAGGTGAATCGTTTCCATGGGCTCTGGTCTGGGCTATAGGGCCCCTTCCAGCTTGGGACAGGCACATACCTTTGGCCCACAGGGAGACCATCTTGGCCTTGTTCCCTGGTCCTAACGGAAACAAAGGAGGGATCCCAGATGGAATCAGCCAGGATCCAGGCTCACTTGATTACCCCTGTCTTAGAGGGGAGGAAAGTGCTAAAGAGGAACATTCCTGGATTTGTCTGAGCACTGGCCATATCCCCATACAAATGCTCAGGATGGGCCCAGGGGAAGTTAAAGGGTGAGCACAGTCCCATGTAGAGCCCAGGTGGGCCACAAAAGGTAGAAACAGCCAGCCTGTGGCCCCTGCCAGTAGGGCACAAGATCTTTGTACACTAACAGCAGAGCCCACCCTGAAGATCCCCAGTCCCTTTTCCACTACCTTTGTCCACTGGAATGGAGGACGTACTCCCTTCTTTGGCAGTCTCAGAAACCTCCCTGGCCTTTTTCAGAGCCTGTCGCTTCTTCTCCTGTTCATCCTGCCATTCCTTGGGTGAAATCTTATACAGGAAATCCTTATAGGCTCTGTAATTATGTAGAGTGTCTTCCTGTTTGGAGATTTCACTAGGCCCAAGGATGGAAGGCTGAGGTCAGACTCCATCCATTGTGAGGCCTGGCTGTGCCTGGCCCTCTAGTATGGTCCTTATTCTGTGGTGGGCGACTTATTCTGTGGAGCAGGCACAGAAGCCCTGAATGCTAGGGAAAGGGCAGAGGTGACCGGAGCTCACAGAGCTGTGGGCTTGAAAGATCTGCATGTTTCTTTCCATCCCAGGCACTCTGACTGCCATTCTCAAGCTAGAGCCCAGGGATCCCCTGAGCCAAACTGGTCCTTCATTGTGGTTGTGTGGCCTTGGGAAAATCACTGACTTTCTCTTGTCCTCAGTCCTCCAATCTGAAAATGAGCTACAGCGTCCAGCAAGGATTTGAGCCTCTGAGAGATACCTCAAAGAGGATTACATGACAGTGATATCCCTTTGGCTGTGGGTCAAGTGATGGAGGAAATTAGAGAGCGGCCTCTTAAGGCCAGCATGCCCTCTGCCTTCACCTTTTGATATTCACAATCTGAGTGGTAAGGTCCTGGATCTCCATGATCTTCTCCACCTTGGCTTTGGTCTCCTTCTCAGCCCTGGGGGATGGGTGGGGATCAGGAGACAAGCACAGATGAGTAAAGACCAGCAATGAACCACTGGCCTTGTGCTTTTGGGTTGGAGGTGAGGAGCCAGGGCACTGGCCAGTGGCTAGGGCTTGGCTAGGTCCAATTAAGGCTGGGCTGGGCCTGGGCAGGGGCAAAAGGAATAAATGGGTACACATAGGCTCAAGGGCCCCAGGGGATGGTGTGGCATGACTGGCCAGCACCCTACAAGCTCACAGTCGCAGGGCCTGCACCGAGCTGCGATCATTCTCTCGGAGGAACTCATCAAACAAGGCTGTATCGTTCTCCAGGGACCTCTCAGCCTGCTCCAGCTTGGTCTCCTCCTGGGTTGCCAGCATCTCTAGCCGCTGGATCTCATTGCGTTTCATATCCAGGGCATACTGAAGGTCAGCAGAGTAGGGGTCACAGCACTTGGCCTGGGCGAGACACCCCAGACGGAAGCCCTTGTGCTGGCACAACTGAGCCCACCTGGAGGAGAAACATCTTTCGATTCTGGTCAATGTAGTTGCATATCGAATCAGGCTCCAATTTCTTTTCTGAAACAAGAGGAGACAAGCAGGTGAGACTAAGAGGCTCAAGGTATGGCAAGGACAGGCATTCAGAGAACCAGCAAGGGCCCCCAGCAGGTCCCCTGCAGACTCTGCTGCCAGCCTGGGAGGCTACAGGGATCACAGGGGATAGAGGTCTTGCTCTCTGCCATCAGCAAAAAGGCAGAAGTCTCTGCCCAGTACACAGTCAGCCCTCCCTATCCATGGACTCTGAATCCCCCAGATTCAACCAATCACAGCTCAAAAACATTTGGGAAAATATTTTGTCTGTTCTAAACATATGTAGTCTTTTGCCCTTGTCACTGTAAATAACACAGTATCACTTTTTACAAATTATATCTTTTTAGGTTTATAGCAACCTAAAGATGATTTAAGTATACACAAGATGCCATAGATGACATATGCCATTATATGTAAGGGACCTGAGTGTTTTTAGGCTCTGGCTTCCAAGTGTAAGTGCAGGTGGAGGTGTCCCGGAACCGAGTGCCTGCAGATACCAAGGGCTTGCCGCACTGTAGTCCCCATAGTTGGTGTCAGTCTGGGTGGGAAGTCTTGTCTAACTCTCTTGCTGTAGCACCTCTTTCACTTGGAATGAGCATCTGAACGCCTCTACCCTAGAAATTTCACCCAGTTGGACTTAATTACAAGAGGCCTAATAGCAGGACCTGAATGAGGTGGGAGAGAAAAACAAGATACCTGAAGCCCCAAGAGCCCAGTCTGCATCTCAGTCTACACAGACAGGGTTTAAATCAGGCAGAAGGAACTGAGGTGGAGATTTGAACAACTTTCTACCCCAAGCATAGGAGCAGCCAAGAACAGTCAAGGGCATGGGGGCTCTCTCTCCTGCTCTGGGAGAGGAAGTGCTGTGGGATTCCTGACTCTAGAGTTCCAAGGAGCTAGGCAGAGGAACTTGATGCAGTACTTCTCTTGCTCTAGATCTTCAGATCTTGTCTTTCCAGAAGAGTATCACGAGTGTGGTTGATGCAGGAACTCTTTCCTGAGTATAAATGCTCACTAGAGGCCCTGGGTTGGCCTCCTAGAGTAATCTGGAGAAGCCCCTGTCCCTCAAGGAAACCCAGCTCCTCACTGGCATCAAGCTCAGGACAGGGAACTCCTGCAGCCCAAGTACAAGAAGTTCAGTGTCTCCTGCCTTGATTGCCCTGCCTCTCCCAGTCTTACGAATAGAGACACAAAACTTTCAAAGCAGCTCAGGATTCCTACCAAAGTAATACAGGGTATGGAATTCTGTCCTGTTCCTGGTTCCACACACACACACACACACAAAATCCTGTCATGTTTTATATTCACATTTCATACCTGTTATAGTTTGAATCAAAGCTGCCCCCAAAGGCTCTGTGTTCAAAGGTGACACTTTGGACAATGATTAGATCATGAAGGGCTAACTTCATCAACAGGTTAATCCACATGCTGCTGGGGGATAGGTTCTGCCTGGAGAGTATGTCACTGGGGGCATAATCAAGAATGGTACATCCTATGTTGTTTATTTATTATTTCTTGCCTATATCTTGTAATATGAGAAACTACTTTGGCAGTAACAATACACAATGTACTAACCATTGTTACTCTCCTGAAATCTTGTTTTGAGATTTTGTATCATTTTTTTTTATTTTTTTTCTTTAAAATAAAAATAACTGATGTCAAAAAATAAAAAATAAAAAAATTGGGAAAAAAAAAAGAATGGTACATCCAGGTTCCTAGCCCTTCCTCACTCTCTCTCGCTCCTTCTTGCTTGCTCTGCCTCCTGGACGCCATGAGGTAAGCATCTTTCTTATGCCATACCCTTGCACCACAAACCTCTGCATTGGCTCCAAGAACCCAAGGGCTGAAACTTCTGAAATGGTGAGTTAAGATAAACCTGTCCTTTGTTGTTTATGTTGACTCTGCAGTGACAGCTAGGCAAAGCTAACATGCCTGGGATCCCACTGTGCTCCAAGACTAGGCTGGTTGGCTTTTTTTCTTCTTTCTTTCTTTCTTTCTTTCTTTCTTTCTTTCTTTCTTTCTTTCTTTCTTTCTCTCTCTCTCTCTCTCTCTCTCTCTCTCTCTCTCTCTCTCTCTTTCTTTCTGTATTTAGTACAGAGTCTACAGGGTCTCACTTTACATATTGGACTCATAGTGATCCTCCTGTTTTCAGCCTCCCAAGCACGGGATTATGGGTGCACGCCACCACACCTGGTCTCAGTCACCGTCTCAGTGTACCCTGGAGGTGGGGCCAGCACAGCATGCTAGGGATCGAACCCCAGTTCCTGTGCCTCCCTAAGTCTGCCTCTTTCTAGCTTTGTTCCAGGTCCAGCTGACTAATTTCATGGTCATGGCCAGTTACTTGACCCCTTGGCAGCTCACTTTCCCTGCCTGGCTGTAAATGGTATTAACCATGGGTTGGGGAATTCATCATGTTACTACATCGAACATAGTAAAAGAGAACATATATATGACAGGGCTGTTATTTTTATTACCCAGTTGGAAATATGAAATGCTGAATATGTATTAATATTCTACCAAATCAAATAACAAATCTTGAGCCAGCTGTGATGGCACAGGCCTGTGAGCCCTGCGTTTTGAGAAGATGAGGCAGCACAAGTGAGAACCAGGCTGGGCAAGTTAGCAAATCAGCAACAAAACTTTAAATGAGGCTGGGGATGTACCACAGCATGGAGGCCATGGGCTCAGTGCTCAGAACACAGACATACACACAGACACACAGACACACACAGACACACAGACACACACACACACACACACACACACACACACACACACACTATAATACTGCAAAGCTGAAAAGAAGCAGGAGAAAACCAGTGAGTCCAAGAGGAATCAGTGAGGAATAAGATAAAGCAGTTCAAATAACAAAGCCTTCTTTTGGTTTGGTTTGGGGTTTGTTAGTTTGTTTTGTTTTGCTTCTGTGTTGGCACTGGGGCTGGGGCTGGAACCCATGACCTCACACTGCCAGGCAGTGCTGTGCCACTCAGCTGCACCCCAAACCTAACCTGCCTGAATTGCCTCTTTTATAGATCATGCAGCCTGTGTCAGTGGTGTTCATCTGCAGTCAGAATGCACAGCCACCTGCGGTCCACAAACTCCTAAGGCTGCTGTCCACAGAGACTAAGCCCTGAGACACAACCATTAGGGGGCAGAGGTGGAAAGCCCTCCCATAGGTATATAGTGAATGGCTGGGAGCACAGGGCCCCCAGATGCTGTTGTTCGAGGCATGCCTATCCCTGGTCCCCCACCCCAGGCTGTGGAGGGTGGCACCTCTGGTCATGATCAGCCTCCAGGCCATGTTATCACCAAAGGTGCGCAGCTGCTTGACCTCAGCCAGAAGCTCCTGGTCATCCAGCTCCTCCTCCAGCTGCAGCTCCTGCCGCACGCTGCTGTTCTTGGCAGACATCTTGGAGGCGTAGGTCATTTTCTCGTGTACCCGCATCTTCTTCTTCTGCTCCCGCTCCTGGGGACAGTGAACTGGGTCAGGTAGGACTCAAGCTCCTTCTCCCACCTAATACTCTGCTGTCCTGGACTGGATGTCTACATTGGCCCTCTTGGGACAGGGGCACGTGAGAAGGCACACGCGTACATACACAGACCTACAGAGTCACACAAGCAGCACTGTGGGGCTGGTGCCTGTGGGAAGGCCCAGGCTGTGATCCACACCATAGTGTCCTGGGCTGAGAGTGGAGTTGGAAGGAAGGCTCATAAGGAGGCCACTCTGCACTGAGAACAGGGCACCAGATGGGTTCCCCAGGCCCACCCAGATGTGCGCACTCCTACTGCCAGATGATTTTTATCTGATAGCCACATTTAACTGAGGGTCATGTATTTCTGCGATGACAGCTATGACAAATATACTCTAGGAACTTAGATTTCAGTTTCCGAAAGAACCATGGGTTCCTACATTTGATCAGCAGGTTCCATTGTCCATGTCAGACAACTGGAAAGTCTCTGGTGCTCTGCTGTTTCCACTATTTTTCTAGTCCTGCCCCTGTTGGGTGCCATGAAGGCCCAGCACTCCCTGGCAGGAAGCCTCAAGATGGTGGAAGGGCACTATTGCCCACAGTTGATCTCTGCCTAAGTTCCCTGCTGCCGACTGGGAGCTGTGCGTCTACATGTGTGCTGTGGGGTCCTTGCCCTGCCCACCCTCAGCACTGGCCCTTCACTAACGTCCTTTGAGACTGTCCAGCATCACTTGATTTCCCCTTGGTACCTGCCAACCACCACAAACAATTCCACACCTATGTTCCTGCCATTGGGCAAATACAGAAACTAACCTGAGGCTACCAGCTGGCACATCTATGTGTCACAGTGCAGTTGGGAAAACGTCACCCTTAGGATACCAAAGGTGGCAGGTCTGCCTTGATAAGGCATCAGGCAGCTGCTTGTGGCCAGAGTGAGGCTGGGAGCTCTGTTGAGAGGGGAAGGCATGAGGTTTGGGGTACTTGCTGGAGTGGGGAGGATATGAAGCTGGGAGTGGGGCCCTGGTGGAATGGCACAGGCAAGTTCACTTGGAGATGGATGTTTGTGGAAGGACGAGGTAGGCCAGGTTTGAAAATCAAAGAACCCAGTCCTGCACTGGAGAATAACAGGACCTCCAAAGTCAAGGCCAGAGAGGGGTTCTGTGGGTCTGTAGACCATTCTCCAAAGCTGGACAAGGCATTTCCTAGGGCAGCATCTTTCTGAGGACCCTGACCTTGGGAGAGCTGGGAACATAGTTCTGGAATGTCTGATCAGAAGCCTGGGTGAGGCTGAAGAATGTGTCTTCCCCTCAGTGCCCAGCTGATTCTGGTGTGATTCTAGCTGCCCTGAGAACGATGTTTTACAGCAGTCCAGAGAGGTTAAGCTTGGGTCAGGGAAATACAGAGGCTGTCTGGACAGCCCAGGGGAGAGGCCAGGATGTCTGCTTGTGTGGGCAGGCCCAGACTTGCTCTGGCTGTGCTGAGGACTGTGGGAACGCGGAGTCTCCCCTGACCTCTGGGTATATATCTCTTAGAGGAACCCAGGGAGCACCCCAGGGTGTAGACAAGACTTGGGCAGTGTTGGGCCTGCCCCACGACTCCAAGATAATACTGTGGGGTATGTGTGTGTATCCATGTGCATACTTAGCCTCCAGGATCCCAAGGAGTAAGAGGCCGCATGAGGCTAGAGCAATCAGAGAAGAGGGCCCATGAAGTCTAAGGTGACTCTTGAAGGACAGAGAGAATGTGAAAAGGGAATGGCATTTCACACAGGGAACAGTGAAAGAGATGGTGGACAAGGTTCTGGCTACTACAGCCCAAGGAACCCATATGGCCAAGAACAACAGGGATGGCAATGTGTAAAATAGGTGGGCACAAGTCAGGGCACAGGTGCCCAAGAGCCAGGCAGTGTTTCTAGGTAGTCCTGAAGGGAAGTCACGGACTATTCTAGAGTGAGGGTGACTCAAGGAAAGTGCTTTTCTGAGAAGGAAAATTGGCTCTGGTGCTATTCACATAACAGAAGGAAGCATGAGGAAAGAGAAGTTTCACAGAAGTGCTGAACCCTGCCCTGGATACTCACAGCAATAGCCCTGTTCCGCTCCTGATCTCTGAATAAGAAGATATCCACATCTCCAGACACATGGAAAGGGTTAGCCGGACCATGTGGAAGGTTCATATGTCCTGGGAGAGAGATACATCGTTGGAGAAAGAAGCAGCCTGCTCTTCCAGGCAGTACTCTGTGCTTCTAGGGTCCCTGAACCCTCCCAGTCCATCATGTGACACACAGGATGAGTGGAAAACGTTCTCTTGGATCCAGCTCTGTCTGAAGTCCACTCCTGGATCTTCTAGCTCTATAATTTACTTCTGAGATGTAACCTAGTGTGAACCAGGCTGCTGTCCTGTGCATCTGAAAGAAAGTTCCTGAACACAACCCTTGTGCTTTGAGACTCTGCACTGGCTTTTCCTTGAAAGTCTCAGGAAACCATCTATCACAGAGGAAGGAGGCCAGAGCATTCTGTTTATAAGTGGTAGGAGCTGGAGCTGGGTATCTTTGCTGAGAGCTGTGGGCCCCCAGGTGAACATGTGTTTGTCTTTCCAGGAGCCTGTATAAGCCTCCTGTCATAAGGCTGGGCTGATGTGAGGTGTGCTTTTTTCCTAATCTCCATGGTTTGCTTCCCCACACTGAGCTTGATTTTGAGGGAAGGAGAGGGAGAGGGAAGGGGCAAGAGGGAGAAGGTGAGAGGGAGTGACAAACGGAGATTGATTCTAGAACAGATGCACAAGGGTTTCCCTATGAGTGTCAGGAAGCAGGAGGCCACAGAGAATTCAAGGGTGGGGAGGAACTGTTAGATTAGATGAGACTGAAGTGGGTTGGTTCTCAATCGAATCCTGATTAGAGTCAACTTTCTTTTCTTTCTTTCTTTTTTTTTTTTTTTTTTCGGACCAGGGATTGAACTCAGGCCCTTGTGCTTGCCAGGCAAGCGCTTATTCTACTGAGCTATCTCCCCGGCCCCAGAGTCAATTTTCTTTAGGAAGACATTTTCTAAGACTTTGTAGAGTTGTGATGACAGGACTACAAGGAACCATCCCCCCCAGTGACAAGTGTACACTGTCGTGTTTAGGGATGAAATGAAATGACATTTAAAGTGAAGTGGAACTTATTTTAAAATATTTTAGTGAAGACAAAAAAGAAAAAAGAGAAAAAGGATAGATGAAGCAAAGGCAACAAAGTCATGTCAACTTCACAAGCTGAGAATAGTTCCCTGGCTCTTGCTTTCACTCCTAGGCATGTTTGAATTTTCATAATTAAAAAATGAAACAGAAATAGTACGTCAGGTAGGGGAAACTATAGGAAATGCTCACGTCACAGAACTCAGCAGAAGGATCAGACCACAGATGAAGCCATGAGCCCAGGAAAAAGCCACGAGCCCAGGGAGAAGCCACGAGCCCAGGGACAAAGCAGGAAGTGGGAGGCCATGGAAACAAGGTATGGAGTGAACTGCAAGAAATAAGGTTCCTGTGCAGAGGTTTAGGGTGGGGCAGGCACAGCCGGTTGCCTTCCATTCTCCTGCCAAGTAGGTGATAACAATGTGCCTGATTTTAAAAGTCCTCTGTGTAGATATTGATGGTCACATGACAAATTTATCTAGTAGATTGTGGGCAGAAATTGCTGAGTGGGCCACCTAGAAAAATCTTTTTCCTGAGTGGGCTAAGTTGGCAGGTGAACAGTTTTGTCCTGCTCTTTCTTTCTTCCAGGAATCAAAGATGATCAGGCTGGGGTTACTACAGACATTTTGTGACCAGGAGGCAACCTTGTGGTTGGAAGTCCTAAAGCCTTTCCAGTAAAGCAGAAAGACTTGAGACCTAGTCACCAGGATGACTTTGTGGAAGTGTTGTTGGTGGAGCCTTGTGGATCTTGGGACTATCTTATTTCTTAATACTGGAGGAAAAGTAATCCCTACTTTGTTTATGTTCTGTACTTCTATCTTCAGAAGAAGCGGAAGCCTTTCCCTTTTCCCTTAGCAGTGCAGACTAAGTCCGAGGGCATCTACAGCAACGGGTGGGGATTACCCTCTACCAACTCAGACTGGAGCCACCCAGCTCAAGTGTTACCTTTGCCTGTTTTTACATCCTTATCCAATTTTCCAGTGACCCAAGAAGAGCTGTTCCTGTATTCCACACTCTTTCCTGGGGAGACACAAAAGGGAAAGCTACGGCAGTGACATACCTGGCCAGAAAAGCTATGAACAGAGTGCAAGGCAGGTTGAATTCCCGGTTCCCAGCATCAGTTTCTCACTGCTTGCGGAGCAGCTTGGAAAGTCACCTCTTGGAGCGTTGGTCTCTACATCTGAGGTGATTAGACTGACTTGGATGGGAAAATGGGAGTGCTGTGCAAGCAAAAGGCCATCCAAGGTCCTGCCCGCGTGCTGGGCACATGGTGGATGCTTTGTATTTCCCTCTCTTGCCCTCCACTTCATGCCTTAAGGGCAGTGCGGGACACTTTAGAGATGTGCAGACAAGCACTCAGGCGGGTCAAAGTCCCTAGACTTCGGACTCTGGACAGTCCAGCAGTGCTGCCTCCCAGGGCCCCCCTCAAGCTTTTGAATGGATGATTCAAATACCAGTGTCCCCCAAAAAGCACCTGTCCCATTCCACCAGGAGGAGTGCTCCTGCCAGCCTTAGCCTTCCTGAGAGGTCTCGAAGGCACAGGTGGTTCCAGGAAGCCAGGGCCTCCTCCCCCGAGGCTGCCACATCTCCCATGTGGGGCAAGGCTTCACTGCCTTGTTCTTATCAACCGAGATCCACAGGGAAGGAGGCAGGCAGCCCACTATTTCCTGCATACCAGCCTAGGTGTCACTTGTAGTGTACGGATCCCAGTCCCTGCCCCAGTAATCGGAGATGTGGGAGCCACAGTGTGCTCTAGTGGGCAGGTCCTGAGGACAGGGCAGAAGAGACAGTGTGGTCCCCAAGGCATCCAAGATGATGACTGGGGTATGATGACAGGGAAGGCAGGGCCCTGACAAGTAGAGTGAGTGGGATGCCAAGGCCCAGCCCTGAGCAGAAGAGCAAAGTGGTAAAGAAGAAATAGGAAGATAGAGGCAGACCTGGGGTTGGGAGGGGGGTTGGGCCTGGAGCTGAAATTCAAATGCCATCAATATCCTGCACAATACACAGTGTCAAACGGGGGAGAGAAGGCAGCTGGGAGTCGGGAGGCCTGTGGAGAACCCTGGAGTGTAGACTCCTGAATCATTCTTATTTCCTAGCATCCATTCCTAGTAAGTATATGATTAAATTTTTTGAAAGTAAAACTTTCAAAGTCAAATAAATAGACTTAAACCAAAAGCACACAAGTCAAACTCTATTTAAAAATTTGGTTTTTAATTGAGAAAGAAATGCAGCTAGGTGTGATAGACCACACCTGTAGTCACAGCATTTTGGAGGGGGGAGGGTGGCAAGTTTGAATTCAGTGAATTAGGAAGTCTCTGACTCAACATTAAAAATAAAAACGGGTCGGGGATGTAGGTCAGGGCAAAGGCCCTAGGTCTGCTCTCTAGTAGCACTAAATAAATGATTATTATTTAAGGGCCTGAGATATGCCAAGATAATTTTGACTCTTGACCTGCAGCATTTCATCCCTGTGTAATCACCATGGCATTCTTAGCCAAGAGCAGAGGTTTGCAGTATCTCTACTACAGATGTAGCTCCTTCTGAGAACTGGCTGGCTCTCAGCTTCTTCCCACCCTGAGAAAGGAGGCTACTCAATGAAGCTTATAGTTGTGGACCCACACAGTACTTGTTCCTTAGTGGCCAGCACAAATGTCTACTACTTAGCACAATGTTCTTAAGAACATCTTTGTGACATCTTGTTAGCAGGTATATTTTTTTATTGAAAAGGCAAGGAGCACTCAAGCATGTGTAGCTTTTAAATGATGCCCAAGACCCTTTATCTAGTAAAGGACACTGGCTCACTTGTCAGAGATGGCAGACGTACTTTCCCTTCAGGAGATTTACCAATTACATTTTGGTTTTTTTTTATGTTTTCCTTTCAGGAAATTACAATTTTTGCTTAATGTTTTGGAGTTTTGTGTTTTACTTAGAAAGGCACACTACATCCAACAATTACATGCATTTAAAAAATTCCTATATCTTCTAGTATTTTGGCAGCAGCATACAGTCTTTCAAATTAAAAGTTCCTTAAGCTAAGTGTGGTGGCACACACCTGTAATTTCAGCTAATCAAAAGATTTAAGCAGAAGGGCCTCAAGTTAAATGTCAACCTGGGCAGCTTAAAATTGTGTCTCAAGGTAATGTTTGGGCTGGAGACACACCTCAGTGCTCCCTAGCCTTAATCTTCAGTAAAATAAAATAAAAGTCTTCACCAGCTATAAAAACCAGTCTTTATTTTTCACGCTAAGGGGACCTGGAAAATCTGTGATTTTTGTATTCATTCCAGATGTAAAGCTGCCTTAATTCTTGAGTAAGTTCCAACCCTGATTGTCCCAGGCTCTTTGGTTACTTCAGCCCCAGCCTGGTACTCACTGTCACTGGTCACACTGTTGGAGACCCGAGTAGAGTATATCTTGGACATCTTGCCTGAGGACAAATGGGTCAGCTCAAAACTTGACATTGGCAGAACAGCTTCACCTGGAGAGTGACACAGTGCTTGAGTGGGGGAGGGGGGTTCCCCATGGCCCACAGCCCACCTCCCCTCTGGCAGCTGAAAATCTCTGGCATTTGCTGAAGATTCACACATGGCCACACAGAAGGCCCCTTCCTCCCCACTTTACTGGCTCCCTCCCAGGCACAGCTCCAGCTTCCCTAAGCTTTCTGCGTTTAGGACTAATGCATCAACTTTGGTCTGCCTAAGGTCTTTTGCATTGGCAGCCTCCTCAAAAAGCGTTCTCCTGAGTCTAGCCTGAACTAGGTGGCTCCTCTGGAACCTCCCCTCCGACATCACCTTTCAGAAAGACCTTCCATTAACCCCCTAACCAAGGAGATTTCTTTCTTCCCACTCCCATATAACCTCACTCGATTTTCTCCTCTGCAATTACCACTGCACAATTATCCCTTTTTCACAAAATCACTTTATTGTCTCTTTGTCCCTACAACATAAGCTGCATTCGATCAGGAGTCTCTTTTTATCAAAGCCCCTGCTGTGTCTTTGGCACTCTATGGACTTCTGTTTTGTGTAGGAGGCAGATTCAGTGAGGTGTCCAAAGTCAGGCAGCGAGGAAGGGCTGGACTCCAGATTTTAGTCCAGAGTTCTGGTGACTCCAAACCTTGCACAATTTCTGCTACATTCTTGCACCAGTGCCGTATGAAAAGGAATCTCACACAGCCCAGAGAACCTCGGGTTAGCAAGGCCGTGCCTCCTAAAATCCCAGCTTCGACAGACCTGCCCTTGGGCTACACAACGAGGGTCCATCCGGAGAGAGGGACCAAAGATGGACAGATGCATAGGTATGTGAGAAAGCATGTGTAATGGAAGAAGGGCGCAGAGCTTTCGACAGCGACTTTGCGAGAGCTCAGAAGGCTCCGCCCCGAGCCCTACACACCCCGGGTCATCCCAATCTTGCAACCCCGCCCGCCAGGCTCAGAACCCACTAAGCCTAGCCCAGTGCTTACGCACCAGCCGCGCGCCTTGGTTCGCTCCGAAGCTTTAGGGCCACAGTTCTCCAATCTGCCCTTCTGGGCCCTGCGTTTACGTCGCCAAGGCAACCATTTTCCCGGCCAGCTGTGACGTCACAAAGGCCACGGGGCGGGCTCGCTTGCTGGACGAGCACTGCCTTTTGGGCGCTGCGGTTCAGGCTGCTGGCCCAGGGTGAGGAACCGGTGGAGAGCCGGGAAGTTTCTTTCCTCATCATTCCTTATTCCGCGCTCCCCTTAGCTTTTTCTTCCCAGCAGATAGTTTATTCACGTTGTGACACGCACTGAGCAGGACGCTCAGGACGCATGAAACAAAAATAGACGTGGTCATTTCCTGCACGTTATGGAAGGCCAGTTCTGAACGTGTGAACTGGGACTGCAGCCTCAGAAATGCTGAGAACTCGCCAAAAAGCTGGTATGCCAGTTCTGAAGACAGAATCCAGCAGTGTGTGGGGTGCAACAAGTTCTTCCTGACATTCGACACTTAATAAACACGAACAGTGACAAATACTTCCGTGAACCTATGTGGGGTGAAGTGCAGTGATCAAAAACAGCGGTACATTTTGTATGTTCCAGATTCACCAGTTATCCAGCCAGAGGCTCCAGCTGTACGGCCCCAGCTCAGCAGGAGACAGACCCCTCCTGTCTGTGATCAGGACCACCAGATTTCCCTATGCATCATGGGGACCATGAGATGAACAAAGGGTGCTTGGAGCTGGGGGCACAACCAAGGCCTTGTCTTTTCAAGGACAGTTAGGGGCCTTGAGGAGCTCTTGAAAAGTGCCAGTGTGGTCCTAGAGACCATCCAGGCAGCCTCTGGCTCTGCCCACAGCAGCTGTAGTAGATGGGGAGACCAAGTCTGAAATGCAGAGCTGGTAGTGCAGAGGTGAAAAGAACACTGAGGACTGTGGTCCCTGTTGGCTTTGTACAAGGCAAGCAGCCCACAGCGGGCTTTGTACAAGGCAAGAAGAAAGTGTTACCGTGTTTTACCCTGATGTGATTTGTATGTGTGCGTTTGCTGAGTAGCCTGTGTGTGTGCATCTTAAGCACCCTGAGATGAGTAGCCTCTTTTTCTTCTTAGCGACCCTTTACACTATCACCCAGAGTCCTCAGCAGTCTAGCTTCAGCCTGCCTCTGTAGCCCCATCTCCCTACAAATTGTCAAAAATTAGCAGGACAAAACAAAACAACAATAGAATACAACCTTGCATTATATTTATATTTTAACAAAACACGAGATGCATTTGATGAATTTAGGTAGGGTGAGTTTTATCTTTGAGCACCAGAACTTCTAATGAGGCTTTTATGAACTGTGGAAATAAGCAACTCTTTAGAAGAAAACTGATGGGAATGCTGCCACTTCATTGTTATCAACAGGTAAGTCCATGAATTTCCCCAGGAACCCTTATGGGGAATCTTTTATATGCCAGGGACTGTTCTACCATGTTATTACAATTTTCCAATTAAACATGCATGTACACCTTGTGCAGTAGGTTGTGTTACTGCCTGTGTCTTTCTACACACAGCTGGTGAGGCCAATGTTGAGGTTTATAGTTAGGCTACAGAACCCCAATCTGTGCTCTTAACACTCTCTGCCTCTTACCAGGCATAGCCTCCTAGTCTTATGCAAGTATGGAAAAAATGTGAGGGACTTTCACAGGGGACTTTGCAAGGAGCACTCAGAAAGCTGTGCCCCAGACCCTTGGACATTTGGCTTCTTGGAAAAAAGCCCAAGAAGTCTGAATCTACACTTTGTTTTGGCACTTAGCTCTTTAGAAAGTTGGAAACCATCTAGGACTATCTATAAAATATAGTCTGGTTTGGAAATTTTAATCTTAGCTTGCCATTTGTCAATGAAAAGCTCATTTAAAAATGAGATGGATTGGTGGAGTAATGGAAGGATCGATAGATGTGTGACATACCAAGAAGAGTGACAGTTAATTGGCAGGGCCAACATGAGGCTGTCCACAGTTTTGTATGTTTGAAATTTAAAATTTTTCATAACCTAATTTTTTGAAAAGCTAATAAAATTCCTAAAGGAGTACTTTGTATTTTTGATTTCACATTTTCTTCCTTGAACAGTGGTCTGTCCAAGGTCTTGGGAACAAACAACAGAAATTAACTATAGCCATTTATTGAGGGTGAGGACTTGGAGACACAAGTGACATCTGCGGGAGGACAGGGAACCCAGCCAGGAGACCTTGTCCAGGAGCAGAACCCGAAGCTGGCTGTAGGTGTGTCCCGGGGGAGGGACAAGAGCCGTGATCTACTATGTGCTTGTATCTTCTGACTGGTGGCACCGGGTTACCTCTATGCACCTTGCTGTTTCCTCCAAGTCAAGTCTCTGGCTTCCGTACTGGGAGACTTGGCTTCTGGGAGGGGGAATACCAGCATCTAGGCAGGGTTTCAGAAAGCCAGCAGATGACAGATGCTTGTGTGTCAGTGCCTGTGTCTCCTCTCCATGGGCCATGGCCTTTTCAGTGGACACAGAGTTCCTCTGTGCCTTGCCCTAGTGTCCTTCCCTCTCACTGGGGATGGAGTGGGGTAGGGTGGAATAACCCTTTTCTCTGCTGTTTTCTTTCTTTCCTTCTTTTAATGTATTTTGGACAAGGTCTACAGGGTGTACAGGGTATCACTAAGTAGATTGGTTGCGTAGTGATTCTCCTTTCTTCAGCCTCCCAAGCATTGGGATTACACCACGCCCAGTCTCAATCACACTCTCAGCTCACTCCAGGGGCTGGACCAGCTCAGCATGCTGGGGATGGAACCCCAGCCGCTGCACTCTGCCTAAGCAGGCGCTTTAGTCCGCTGAGCTATCTGGCTGGCCCTAGAATGCTGGTTTCTTTAGAGGCAACACAGGGCTCACTTCCAGGAGGCAGCTCTCTTCCTTTTGCTCTCATTCACACTATTACGCTGGCTCACCTTGCTCTAGGTGATCACTACCTGACTGCCTTCCCAGCCACCCACAGACTCCCTGTCCTTTGCTGCCTGGGTAGGCCCAGCAAATGAAAGAAGAAGAGCAGGATTATCCCCTCATTGTCCTCCCATGGCATCTTGGTTCATGACCAAGACCTCTGTAGCCACCTGCTTCTTGGGCTTGCAGTCCTCTTGTTCACTTCTCATGCCCTCACTGTCCCCCTTCTGACATTCATGTTCTTCCATAAGTGTAGACGTGAAGCTGCCTGCCTAAGGCCATATAGCCTCTAGCAGCAGAACTGCCTCCAACTCAGGTAGTTTGACTCTATTAGCCCCACCCTGCTAGCTGGCAGAGGTGGTGCTCAGCCAGCTGGAGAGGAGATGGTCCTGGGACCACAGGTGGGCTCAGTTGCTCACACAGGCCTGCACAGAACTCTGTAATTGTCAGCTGGGTCAGGAAGGGGAGTGCTGACCTCTGGACCCACTAACTCAAGCTGAATCCAGGCATGGTGCAGTTCATAGCAGTAAACAAATCTGGACAACATGTAACCTATCCACCGATACCTCTTAGATGTCTAGAGGCTTAGGTGCAATGGAACGGAATGGAACAGAATGGGATGGAATGGAATGGAATGGAATGGAATGGAATGGAATGGAATGGAATGGAATGGAATGGAATGGAATGGAATGGAACAGACATGAACCAGCAGAAACAGAGAATTCTGATGGCTTCCCAAACTCAGAATCAGAAAGTCACCTTCAGGATAAATGCTGCAAGAGTTGAGGCTATTTGTGTGTGGATTTTCCTTTTTCTCAGAGGTTGTAGCTCTGGAGAATGACTGAGCAAGCACCCATCATGGTATGTCAGGGACTTCCATGGGAAATGTGTGCTTGACTTTCTATACTCTGCAAGACTTCTGTATGTCATGTTTCAGACTACTAGAAAAGAGGTGGTGGACTTCTGGCACCCATGCTACAGTGGACATGCAGAGCCCTCTCTGCTGAGACCCATGCCAGTTGCTCCAGCAGCCAAGCATCAGTAAGTCATTTTTTGTAAACTAAATCTCAGTATTCAGGTTTAATTGCAGCATTGGCACTTTGTAATAAAAATGTTAAGTGGGTTTTGGATTGCTGTTTGGGCACTCAACCTCTATAAGGCTCGCCATCACTATCTAAAGCATAACCCCTGCCTCTCTCTCTCTGTGGGCAAATATCTCAGCTCCAGTCCTCATTGGAGTTCTTGATGGCTCCAGTGGTACACTAGCCTGACATGCTTTCCATCGTGTGAGCAATCACATTAGACAGATTGCCCTCTTGACAGCTCAGAAGGACTGGTTATTTGGCGAATAACCAGTGCTCAGTTTTGACCTCCATCCATGTCCCAGGCTTACACATTTAACTACAACAAAAAACCCACCTGTGCCAGTGGGAAACCACAATGGGGACAGTGTTCTTGGAGGGCACCCTGGGGGGCATCATGAAGTACAGGTTAAAGGATAAATAGTATTCAAGTAAGTAGATGGAGTTGTGTGAGTCAAGGAAAGAAAGAGGCAGGGAAGAATGTGAGCCTCAGGCCAGGGAACACAAGTGACCTTTTGACAATTGACAGGGCTACATGTGGGGTGCATGGTGACAAAGGCAGTGTTGATGAAGGGGCACCAGGATAAAGGATACAGCTGACCACCTGGTCACGGAGCTAGAATGTCATTCTGGAGGCAATAGAGGTGAGATTGTTCACATTCCGTATGGAATGCGGGGACAGCAAGGTCATAGTCAGCTTCCTGGAGAAAATGGGTTGGATTGGAGGGCAAGCCAGAGGCTAGGCTCAGCACTAGAAAGGAGGAGCTGCTTTTGGGCAAGAAACAATGATGACTTAGATGAAGGTGCAGGCAGTTAGGGTGGAGAGAGACAAGGGAAATTTAGAAAAATGAGCTAGAAGTTGAGGGATGTACCTGGACCAGGGTAGGTTGACATCTGCTGAGATGAGGAACTGATAGGAGTAAGTTAGTGCTTGAGTCTCTATCTCTGTCTGTCTATCTGTCTGTTTCTCTGTCTCTCTCTCTGTCTCTGTCTCTCTGTCTCTCTCTGTCTCTGTCTCTGTCTCTCTGTCTCTCTCTCTGTCTCTCTCTCTGTCTCTCTCTCTCTCTCTCTCTCTCTCTCTCTCTCTCTCTCTCTCTCTCTCTCTCTCTCTCTCTTTCTCCCTCTCTCCCTCTCTCTCTCCTTTTCTCCCTCTCCCTCTCCCTCTCTCCCTCTCCCTCTCTCTCTCCCCCTTCCCAAACACCTGGCTACAGAGTGTCACAGGCTGACTGGCTCCACCAGTTGTACTTTGCAATGGAGCACGGTTTCACATGGGGGCTGCCTCTAGCCATGACTGAGCCCTGTGAGTGTGAATATGCCATATTCTCTTCACTGATGAATATGGGACTTTTTTTTCAAGGCAATGTGTATGTTGTGATGTTCTGTGGTGATGCCTGTGAAATTCTGAATACAGTAAATACACCTGAAGTGGGTGAAGTTTTTGGTATGTGAA